CGTCTCCTGGGGGTCCAGGAGATCCAGGTGGTCCAGGTGGCCCCTCGGGACATGGCTGACATGGTGGAGGAGTTGTTGGGTTACAGTCTCCTGTTGATCTTCCCGGATTTCCTGGCATACCTGGCGCTCCAGGTCTTCCTGGCTTTCCTGGTCGTCCTGGGGTTCCTGCACCTCCTGGTGGACCTGGACTGCAACAACCGCTGCAGCTTCCACCTCCACCACCACCTCCCCCTCCGGCTGCTCCACCTCCTCCTCCTGCGCCACCACCTCCACCGATTTGGCTACCTCCACCACCACCTCTTACTCCTTCGTCATAACCAGCTTGACGAGCAGTTCTGTTTCCAGGGGGGAGCGCCTTCAAATGCGTCACCTCACCCCAGATATCATTAGCAGAACTCTGCAAAAAGTCTTATTAACGGAACATCGAATATTCTACAGCAATTGTACTACCTTGCAGAATCGGATTTCGCTCTTCACCGAATGCTTCACATGGCTCACGTAGTTGTAGACCAACGGAAGTGTGATGCAGACTGAGAGTACTGCAACGACCGAGAATGTGACAGCCGAATAGGCAACGAAGCGATAGGCCTTGAGACGATGATCCGAATCCATTGCTGGACTGACGATGTTCTCTTTTGCCCTGCTGGGCTTATATACAGTGCCTTGGGTGACATTTGACCTTGTCGCTGTTGCAATTCAGTCGCACTTGGTCACGCTGGCTTTTCGGTTTCTTCGCGCACTGTCTCTCCGCTAGCTATGCAATGTTTTCCTAATAGTTTATCGGTACCATTTGTTCACTAATTCTTATCGATATCGCACGTGTCGGTAGCATTTCGATTCTGCGAGCAAATTGCAAAGAGTTTTGGCAAGTGAAAGTGCTCAATCATCGAATAACGCGTAATTTGAAGAGATGTAAGCAGAATAGAAATTAGAGCAGACGTATTTGCACTGTGAAAGGTGTATCCAAGAAGCCGCATACAGCGGCAATCGTTATACCAAAGCAGCATTCATCATCTCAACAGCAAGTTTTCCAGGCCCTTAAAATCTCGAAATATTAGCAGATACAAAAAATGATGGATATGGAAAATTGTTAAGAAAAAAGTGAATACACAGCTCTGACGATAACAATTTTGGAACCTTGAGTATGGTTTTAGCATTAAGTATTCCGCTCGATTCCAGCAAGCGCCTTGAAATTTGGATCAACTTCATTGCCTTGTTAAATCAACTGTTATACAATACATTGTCTAGCATTCTAAAAGATCTTGCGGTTATTTCTTTGAATTCTTTTCTCTGCCTTTCTGTTTGAGAGACGCGATCTGCGCAATACGCCCTTTCCAAAAAAACTCAAGAACATGGAATCGCGTGAAGTGACAAAATTCGACCCTTAATACTGATTTCATTCAAAAGCAAAGGAGTTTAACACAGTTCACCACCATACAAAGTATCTCAAGATGTGCACAGTTCATAAGTTTACAGTTGTTGTGTTCTGAAGAAACACGGTTCTGGGCACTTACAGATCGTACTGCTTGTTCGTTCTTGACTAGTTACGCTATTGATGAAGAAACACCAAGTTTAGCACTGAATGTTCGCTTTGAGATAACTTGCAGATAGACAGAACGAAAGTTTCTCTCAAATTCACTCCAAGTCTGGAATTTTCCATCAAGAGGGAAGCGATGTACAAGGAGAGACGAAAACTAGCAATTTATAATGAACCGTTGAGGATAGCCGAAAATTACTGCATTCCTCTCTCAATGACGCATCGGGCGGCTACAGTTCAAGCACGATTCAGGCATAGCCCCAACAAAGTTGAAGCGTTGATGCATTCATGCTGATCCGGAACTTCCGGATTTCTTTTTCAAAGTTCTCGAATTTTTTTCGCTGGGTTTTGAACCGCTGGAGACACGAATCAGGCCCCCCCCC